CCCGTCCACAGGCACCACCCTTGCAGTGCTCATTGGCCACAGTTCCCCGCCAATGGGAGCTGCAGGGGCGGCGCTCGGGCAGCCTGCAGAGCAGAGCCCCCTGCCTGCCTCTACACATAGGAGCCGGAGAGGGGACATGCGCTGCTTCCAGGAGCCATGCGCAGTGGCCTCTGACCCTGCTCCCCAGCTGGAGCACCAGAGCGGGGCAAGCCCCAGACCCCGCTCTCCAACAGGAGCTTGAGGGCTGGATTAAAACAGCTGGTGGGCTGGATGCAGCCCACGGGCCATAGTTTGCCCACCCCAGCCATAAGCCCCGGCCTTCCGGTAGGCTGAGGCAGCAAGCAGATAGGCAGCTCTGGCTGGTATTCAGGGCAGAGCAGTAATGAGTCTATTAGCCCAGGCCCTCATACAGAACAGGGCAGCAAACTGTTGCTGGTCCTGGCTCTGGGGTGGGGGGAATCACCAACAAACAAAGGCCTCTTGGCCTGCGGTGGGGAGTCTGCTCCCCACAGAGGTGGAGTGCCAGGGGGACACAGGCCCACCCTACTCTGCTGCATCCCAGCCCAGGGCCCTACAGTAGCAGAGTGGTTTGCCGCTGGGTCAGCAGGGAAATCTGACCACAACACACTGGCCAGCTGTCAATCAGCAACACAGCCAAACGATTATCAGCTCCCCTGGGCTACTTCCTACACTCCCGTTCAAGGGGGTACCTGGGTCCCAAGGTCATCATCCATCTTGCTGGGGTAAACAACTAACAGCAGCCCCAGCAACTTCTCGATGTCTCCAGCAACCGGTAGCTCTGGCAGTCCCTCCAGAGCTCAGGCACTGCAGCAGTTGCTGTCAGGTCTGAACTCCAGCAGCAGGTGAGGAATATCCTTCTCCTCCAATAGCTCCTCTCCAACTGAGCTAGAGGGCCGGCCTTTTATACTTCTGGTTCCTGTCCCGCCCCTCTGCTTCTGGCGGGGTGGGTGTGGGTGTGCCGGCTCTGCCCACCGGGGGGGGCTCACAGCTGTCCTTCCATCCCTCTCTGAGGGAGGCCACGTCCCCTCGCTACAGAGAGGCTGAGCAAGGGCAGCCAGTGTTGATGGGGTCTCATTTCTTGTGTGGTCTAAAGCACGCCAGCAGGATTCAGTTGCCAATATTAAGACTGTGTCTACAGTAAAATTGTAATTTTGTAAGACTCTCATCTGACCCACTTACAACAATGATGATTGAGTTGTGTCTACTCAGCAGCATTTTTCAAGCTACATTATGTCTGATACCCGTGTGTGTGCATGTCCATGTGTCCACCATGTTTTCCCCTGGTGGCGAAATATGGCGTCATTTCCCTGCACTGGGGAGAGGTGGAATTTGAAGGGGAATGCCACCAGTATCCTGCAATTCTCTTCTCCAGGATGGCTCTCTGTACAACATTGTGCAGAAGACGTGGGGTGGCAGGACTGAGGCAAGAGTGGGAGGAGTGAGAAAGATGCCAGATCTGAATCCTTCTAACCCAGGGGTTCTCAAACTGGGGGTCGGGACTCCTCAGGGGGTTGCGAGGTTATTACATGGAGGGTTGCGAGCTGTCAGCCTCCACCCCAAACCCTGCTTTGCGTCCAGCATTTATAATGGTGCTAAATATATTTAAAAGTGGTTTTGATTTATAAGGGGGGTCGCACTCAGAGGCTTGCTATGTGAAAGAAGTCACCAGTACAAAAGTTTGAGAACTACTGTTCTAACCTCTCTGGCCTAGTAAAGTGATTGTTTTAGGATTGGGGTGGCTGCTGCAGTTTGGAACTGGATTAGTGACCCTGGAACTAATTAGATTGGGAACTGGGCTGAGGATTTGGACCTTAAAGTCACATTACTGAGGTGTTTGGAAGAACAAAGTAAAACCCAGATTTGTGAATCACCAGTTTGATATTAATGAACGATACGATTATATAGCCACATCTAGGGTGACCAGATGTCTCAATTTTATAGGGACAGTCCCAGGAGTGAAAGTAACTTAAAGGACTTACCGTTACGCTGGAGTCCTGAGTGGGGGCATGGCCTCAACTGGAAGAGGCGGGGCCTTTCAATATTTAAAGGCCCTGGGGCTCCGGCTTTGGCTGGGAGCCCCGGGGCCTTTAAATCACCCCAGATCTATTAGCTGCAGAGGCGGCTGGAAACCCCGGGCCTCAGGGGCGAATTAAAGGGCCCGGGGCTCCGGCCAGCTGCTACCCCGGGGCGGCAGGGCTCTGGCGATGATTTAAAGGGCCCAGAGGCTCCAGCCACTCAGGGGAGCCCCAGGCCCTTAAAAGCCCCGCCAGAGCCCAGCCGCCGCTGGGGCTCTGGCAGTTGGGCTCGGGCGGGGATTTAAAGGGCCCGGTGCTCTGCCACTGAGGGGAGCCCTGGGCCCTTTAAAGTGCCACCTGAGCCCCGCTGCTGGTGCTCCGGGGGTGATTTAAAGGGCCCGGGGCTCCCCGCAGCGGCTGGAGCCCTGGGCCCTTTAAATCACCGCCTGGGAAGCCGGTCCAGTCCAGCACAGCGTATCAGCTCTTGCCAGTATGCTGGACCAGACCGGACCGCCTTACTTTCACGTCTGGACAGTCCCGAGATTTGGTTTTTTTTTTTATATGGGCTTCTATTACCCCCGTCCCAATTTTTCACACTTGCTATCTGGTCACCCGAGCCACATCATACAGAAGCACATAATCACAACATTGTAACTCTAACAATTACAAAACCTGACAGAGGCTAATACCAAAACATTATTGTGTGTGTGTGTGTGTCCAGGGCCGGCCTTTGGGTTGGGGAGGGAGCGGTGCGCAGGGTTTGGATTCCCACCTGACCTGCTGAGGGCCAGCTGGGCTGATGGAGGCGGCAAGCAGGCGAGCAGCAGTGCTGGAGTGGGGGAGAGACCCGAGCTGCAGGGGGCAGTTGGACAGCCAGCCATCTGAGCCAGATGACTCCTCTGAAGCAGGAGGTTCCCCCCTCCCCCCCTGCTCCATGTGTGCAAGAGCTGTGTTCCTGCCCCCTCCCCCTTTCTCCCCGGAGCAGCTCTGGTAGGGTGACCAGACAGCAAGTGTGAAAAATCGGGACAGGGAGTGGGGGGTAATAGGAGCCTATATAAGAAAAAGCCCCAAATATTGGGACTGTCTCTATAAAATTGGGACATCTGGTCACCCTACGCCCTGGCCACTCAGACTGGGACTCTGGGAGCATCCTCCTGTCTGCTGGGGGGGGGGGGTGACATTGGGGTGTCCCCTCATCTGTGCACCCAATTTCCACTAAGCTGGGGTGACGGGACAGGGGGAATCACTGTGTGTGCTGCTGCCTCTCTGGGTCTGGAGCTGGTGGCCACTGCTTGTGCCTGAACACAAGCCTTCAGGCTCCTGACCCTCAGTGCTTTCTTAAAGAGCCAGTGCACTCCTAAACTCAGGAACACACACATTCCCCTCAACACACACTCTGTCAGACACACACACTGACACACACAGACACACACACTCATTCTCGCTCTCTCCCCCCAACTCATACACAACACCAGGGCTCCCTGCATTCAGGTCACTTCCTCACCTGGGTTGTGCTGAGGCATCAGCAGCTGCTGCTCTCCTGCCCTCTCCTTATGCAGCCCAGGGGGTGCACGGGGCAGAGGAGCATCGGTCCAGTGGGGGAGCGAGCAGCAATGCCAGCTGCTTTGTGCATCCAGGTGGATCAGTTTCCCCACATGGGTGCAGGAGAGGGATATAGGGGTTAGGGGCTCAGGAGGGAGGTGCAGGGGGTAGAAGTGAAGGGGTGCAGGGTTTAGAGGCGCAGGAGGGGAGTGCAGGGGTTGGGGTGTAGGGGGCACAGTGCAGGGGTTAGGGGCACAGGAGGGGAGTGCAGGGGTTAGGGGTGCAGGAGGGAGCAGGTATTGGGGCACCACAGGGGAATGCAGGGGTTGGGGTGAAGGGGGTATGCACAGTGTAGGGGTTAGGGCTGCAGAAGGGAGGTGCAGGGATTGGGGGTGAAGGTGGCACAGTGTAGGGGTTAGGGGTGCAGAAGGGAGGTGCAGGGATTAGGGGTGAAGGTGGCACAGTGCAGAGGTTGGGAGGAAGGGAGGGTGGGGAGTCCATGGGGGACCAGGGGCAATGGGGAGCACCATGTCCGTAGGGGCAAGGGGCACCAAAATGCAAGTTCACCCAGGGTCCCATAAAGTCTCTATGGTTTGGGCAGTAATGGCTTGGGTGAAGCTAAGAAAGATGGTTTAACTGTAACAGAAATAAACATGTGGATATCTGGGTATCCAAATATGAAAGCTTTAAACCAGCTGCTAATGTATTTCTGATTTTTTTATTGTTTTATATGGCTATAGTTACACCATTTATTCAGATTAGACTTTAGATGGAGCTAGGTATACAAATGTAATAGGTTATAATATTATACATTACTGGAAAAAAGTTGTTTTGATTTTTTTTGAAGAAAGAAAGAAAGAAAGAAAGAAAGAAAGAAAGAAAGAAAGAAAGAAAGAAAGAAAGAAAGAAAGAAAGAAAGAAAGAAAGAAAGAAAGAAAGAAAGAGGCATTGGTAAGGTGCCCCTTCAATAAAATCATTAACATTTATAACAGGTAGCAGATTTTTGACAGAAGCAACAGAAAATCTGTTAGTGAAAGGAAAAAAAATAAGCCTTAAACACCCAACTCAAGTTAAAATCCAGCCATAAAAATATTGAAAGGAAACGTGAATCAAAATCAAAATCAAAATTTGAAAGTCACTCAAGAGAGATACTATTATAAATCTTAAATGACTCATCTGCTCACTACCCATACCTCACGCTATGTCATCTCCAAGGGAGAACCCCACTGTGACATCACTACACACCTACCAATTAATCAGAGTGGTGGGGGAAGTGTCCAGGCACATGGGGATGTCCGTGTCAGTGCAGCTTCAACTTTTTATGGCACTCCCTGCATCCTCTGTATGCCCCACCCTCCCATTGTTGAAAATCCAGACAGGAATTCGATACCCTGCTCCGATTTGTACATTCCTTCGGCTCTGCGTCGCCTACACCCAACCTCCTCCTCCCCCCCGATCAGCTGCTCAGCTCGCCCTCGCACACCCCGTTCCCAGACCCTTTCCCGCTGCCGGCTTGCCACGGTGCGTTCGGGGAAGGGGAGTTTTGCTGCAGCTCAGGGCAAAGGGCAGGGGAAAGGCACCAGCTTCAGCGGGGCTTCACTTTGGCAATGGGCATGTGCAGACACTGTGCACATGCCCATTAGGGCCGCATGAGGCCGGGCGGATTTTGCTGTTCCACCGGCAAAGCCCTCGCACAAGCCGCATCCTCAGAGCAGCAGAGCCAGACAGGGGGGAGACCCACGCTCGCACTCACACGCGACCAGACAGGGCGGGTGGAGGAATCGCCTAGACGTTTCTGGCTCCTGCTTTCTCCAGCGAGCGACTCCCCCGCTGCATGTGTTGGCCAAGCTAAAGGATCGCGTGATACCAATGAAATACACAAAACTGTATCTCTGTGCTGATCCTGTGTCGGAAACAATGGGACCCGCGGCCGCCGGCGTGGGGCCCAGCCCCCAAAACGTGCTGCTAAGAGGATTTTTGGAGAGGTGAGGCTGGAAACTTTCCGGAGGAGCGTGACTGTACCAGTGACATGCCTGGCTCCCTCCTTCCCTGAGCGCCTGAGGATTTTCTGATTGGCAGCTTGTCCCTTGGAGGCTCGCGGCGGCGCTGTCATGGGGCTGACATAAAGCGGTATCATCAGGTCCTTATTTCAAAGTGGGCTGGGGTGGGGGGCTCCATTGACTACACAGGTCTTAGTCGTTTTGATTTGCAACCGATCCGCTGTGACTTCTTCCAGCCAAGTTCCCCGCCCGACAGCTGCGGGAGGCGGTCAGCAATGCAGCCCACCCGCTCCCGCGGCGGCCACCTCCGGCAGCCGGGACATTAGGAGCCGCGGCTGAAGATGGGGCGAGGAGGCACCGCGGCAAGCCGCCGGCTGCCCTGAGGACTGACTGATCGTTTTCTGGGCGGGGGCAGGTGGGGAGGCAGAAGGGGGCGGGGGTGGGGGCCGCCATCTGAACAACTTGTGGTGGGAAAGCAAGGACGGCAACTGGCCCTGCGCTCCACGCGTGGCCACCTCCAGCCCCTCCGGGTCACGGGGCGCTGGTGTGATTCCCTCGCAAGCGGCGATTCCCTGCCGACCAGCGCGCTGCTTTAAAACCAGACGGCGAGGAGTGTGTGGCAGCGGGTGGGGGACTAGCCGCCTGAAATCCATTCAGCACCGCCCGGCTCACACAGGGGATCTACAACCGAGCAGCCGCAGCCGCCCCCCCCCCCCGCAAAGGATCCGGCGTGTGCCGTGTGGGGTGTGTGTGCGGGGGGTTGTTGTTGTTGTTGTTGCGAGCACGCCTCCCCTAGCCGCTCCATGAGGGGGAGTGGGCGCTCCGCTCTCCTCGCTGCCTGCGCGGGCTTGGAGCAAAGGCGGCAATCGGCGGCCAGCCCCCGCCTCCCCGACAAACTCGGCTGTGGTCTGGCGACAGCCGCGGTGGGCTCGGGGCTTCTGGCGCTCGCCCGTGCTTCCCTTCGCCGCCCCAGCCCCGCTGCCCTTGGGCGTCTGCTCTCCAGAGCCGGCTGGCGGGTGGAAGTCAGACAATGAGGCGCTGGGAAACTCCTCTAGGGCACAGCCGCGTTCCGGGAGGAAAAGAGCCTTAGCAGCCCCCCCCCCCCCTCCTCCAGCGCACACACCCACCGCTGAGCGCCTCGGCTCGGCCGGATTTTTTTGCCCGGGTGTATTTCAGGCCGGTGGGGCAGCTCCCGTCTGCCTGGGCTCCCCCGATGGTTTTGCCTCGGCTCCGGGAGAGCTTCAGATCGCACCTCGCCCTCCTGAGCTCCCTCTGCACTAGGATGTTGCGGCAGGTTTTGCACAGGGGGCTGAGGACGTCTTTTTCCAGACTCGGCCACTTCATTGCCAGTCACCCGGTGTTCTTCGCCTCCGCACCTGTGCTGATCTCGATTTTGCTGGGCGCCAGCTTCAGCAGGTACCAGATCGAGGAGAGCGTGGAGTATCTCCTGGCCCCCAAACACAGCCTGGCCAAGATCGAGAGGAACCTGGTGAACAGCCTTTTCCCGGTGAACCGCTCCAAACACCGGCTCTACTCTGACCTGCAGACCCCTGGGAGGTACGGCAGGGTCATCATCACATCCTTCAGGAAGGCGAACATGCTGGACCAACATCATACTGATCTGATCTTAAAGGTAAACCTCTGTCTGCTGTATTCCCAGTTATTCACCTCCTGCACTCCACACCTCATCTCTCTCTCTGTCCCACCCCTCTTCTTCGATCCAACCTTCCCCACCCTCCCAATCTGTGTTATAATAACTCAGACACTATCCAGATACACATTTATGCCTGTTGGGGTACGCCCTACCTTCCATAGACACTGTGTGTCTTGTGAACACAGCTACTAAGTCACATCCCTGCAACAGTTGGGATGACTACTTATTTTAAAGGAGATGAGAAATCTCCCTTATTTGTGGATGAAATAACCTAGACAAAGGTGTGTATTTTTGTGAATAAGGAAGTCAGGGCATTTTGTTAAATAATTCTTCCAGCACTCTTTATTATTCTTACAGTCATGCCTGTGAGTTAAGTTCACTCTGAATTCAATAACTGTTTTTGAAGTTTGAGTACAAAGCTGCAAACTGCTTGGGGAGGTGGGGGTGGTTTGTATGGATTACCAGGTATGGACTGTCTGTGACTTTTGGGTACAGAATAGCTTGAAACCTCCACTTCATGGTTCTTGGAACCAAATTACATACCAAATTGATTATTTTTAACTGATAGTATTTCCTCCTCCACTCATCCTCACAAACCTTTTTTTTTTTTAAAGAAAAAACAGCCTGGTTGTAAATTTGAGGCATTGTGCAGTTTGTGATGTACAGGATCAAGTTACATTAGGTGCATCTTGTCATATCATTTATGTTTCATGGAATATGATGTAATGTGACATTTCATAGTACAATTTAGCCTAACATGTCAGAAATACGAATTTCTTTAATTTCACTATCTGGTCTAGACTGCAATAGTTTTGAGTAGGTTTTGGGGGGCGGGGAGGGGGAGAGAAAGTAGGATGGATGTAAAAATTGGGCCGCAAAAGGGTCGAGTTCCAGAAAGAAAGAAGAATCTCTGGAACATTTGGAAATATTCAAGGTGTGGCTCTCAGAATCTACACACTTTTAGCATTAAACTGTAGGACTGCATGTTAACATTGTTCCCCTGTGGAAAGCATAAAGACTGTCAACATTTTCTATTTACTGAATATCAAACCGTCAAAACACACAAAAGATAATGTTAATGTGAACAGGAGGGAGTGTCTTTCCTAAAATGAGAAAATAAGTAAAAAAATATATTCTGACAGAGTTCTGGGAGAGTTCACTCTTTTCACTAAACGAAATATGTTTCAGTGGCTTCATTTTTCTTATTTCAACTATAGTACTATTGCACTGATCCACCCAAGTATTTAATATTTTTCCTTTTTGTTGCTGACATATCGACAAACAGCAATCAGCAAGTAGATTTAATGAATGTCGTCTCAGTAAGTCTAGTAACATTTCAGTGGTAAATAAGAAAACTCCAGAGAAGACAATTTTCATTCCTTCATTTTCCAATTTTTCTGAACTGCATTTGCATCCAGGATGTGCATATTCATTCAGTCACAGATTAAAAATTATAATGGATTTTTCCCCTGTAGTGCTATCTCTAGAGATCTGTAGTTTAATCAATAGACTAGTGACACACAAATAAATGTTACTCTGAATCTTTCCACAAGCAAACTTCTGCATTAGATTTATCATAGCAGGGAGAAAGCTATAATTTAGAAAGTTCTGTCAGTTTTAAATGCTGCCTCTTTTTTTATAGCTGGAATGTGCCCACAAAATGATTATTTTTCGCTTACTGAGATCATGATTAACCACGCTATTGTCATTTGACTCCATTTACTTATTGTTAATCTGACATCATCAAGCATCTAAAATACATTTTTACAGAAAATACAAAATATGTTTGTTCTAATTATTGGTCTGTTTGTGGGCAGACCCAGGCACAGACAGCAGCCTAAAGAACCCTGTAGATGGCTAAGGAGATTGGTTATGAGCAGTGGGTCTAAACAGGCGGAGCTCACAGCTCTCACTCTTATGTGGTCATGCGGCATTGCATCATCTTGTGGTGACAGGGCGCAGCAAGTGAAAGAGAATGAGAACTAGATGTAGGTTTTTATGCTGTACCTATCACCACTGTATCTGAGCACCTAAAGGAACAAGAGCATAAATGTAATCAGAGGGGAGTTCATGTTTCCATGCAGTCCAAAGCCAGTCAAACAAAGTACTGTGACTACATACAGTGTGTGTGGTGGCGAGGTGCTCACCCCGCCTGTTTTATAACAGCTGCCACACAGACATGATCAGGATAGAAAATGTGTTTAATAACGTCCTGCATTTTAAAAGGTTAAGACATTTCAAAGAGAGAATTTGAATAAATCATTGTGCATTGTTTGTCTTTCCTTCTGTAGAGGAGGGGAAGTTAGCCTAGGGACAGGGCTTGCTTTAGAGCAGTGGTTCTCAACCAGAGGTACGCGTACCTCTAGGGGTACACAGATGTCTTCTGTACATCAACTCATCTAGATATTTGCCTAGTTTTACAACAGGTTACATAAAAAACACTAGTAAAGTCAGTACAAACTAGAATTTCATACAGACAAAATGAGAAAGTAAACAATTTTTCAGTAATAGGGTGCTGTGACACTTTTGTATTTTTATGTCTAATTTTGTAAGCAAGTAGTTTTTAAGTGAGGTGAAAGTTGGGATACGCAAGACAAATCAGACTCCTGAAAGGGTTACAGTAGCAGAGCCGCCCGGGGGGGGGGGCAAGTGGGGCAATTTGCCCCGAGCCCCACAGGGGCCCCCATGAGAATATAGTATTCTATAATATTGCAACTTTTTTTTATGGAAGGGGGCCCCAAAATTGCTTTGCCCCAGGCGCCCTGAACCCTCTGGGCAACCCTGTACAGTAGTCTGGAAAGGTTGAGAACTGCTGCTTTGGAAGAGGCAGATAGGAGACTTCAGGATGGGACACCTTGTCTTCTCAGATCAGTTGCTGCTGCCCCAGCTACTGGCTGGAGCACTGGGAGTCACAGAAACTCCCCAGCCAGGCATCAGCTGCTTCTGCTGCATCTCCTCCAGATTCCCCTACCTGATCAATCTTCATCTCACCAGCCAAGGAGACAGGAGAGCCTTGGAGTGCTAGTGCTCCCCCACTCACAAAAGGAGAAGAAGGGGAGCTTTCACCCTGGTTTTAGCAGAAGGATAAGTGTGCTCCCACACAGTCACCCTGGTAATGATATGAAGCATTTCGTCTGGTTGGAATCAGAATAAGGTTGATAGCACTAATAGTTACCATCTAACAGCTTTTTGGTGGCCTATCTAAAATGGTTTGGTGGTCTGTGTCCAGTTCCCAATGGACAGATGTCCACATCAGGGAAGAGGGGAAGGAGAAACTATCTTCACAATAGGCACTGAAGGACACCTTGTTGGCAATCGGGGAAGTGAGGTATGAAATGGAGAATAGAATGGAGTCTGAATCACCCTGTCACTGGACCAGTTCAGACAATGCTGCCAAACCTAGAGACCCATCCCCCCCCATCCCCAATGGGCATGTTGAGTGTTAGTGTGGTGTAGGTGCTCACACCTCAGAGCCAAGTACTGCTGAATATAGAAGCTGCTACACATTTACTAGCAGTTTTGTGATGACAACTCAACTAGTGCATTTTAGAGAATCAGGCCATCTTGCCCTGTATTACAGCCTGGCTTGGACACAATGCTGATTACCCTTTTCCTATTTAAGAGGAAGCCTCCATCCACTGTTCTCCTAACTCCCTTCACAAACGCACAAACCAGTTCTAAACACACTGCTTGTTGCCTTCCCGAACTAGCACAGAAATTACAAAGTAGCAACAAAATAGCTTTACGAGCCTGTGACATTCATGAAATGTCGCGTCCCTCTCACATCACATTGAGATAGAGAGATAATGGTAATAGGGAAGCACAGGAATTTTATACTTCCATTGCCTATGCTTTGCCTGTTCAGTAGTTAAATACAGGGCACTGGCATCCTGCATTGTCAGTCCAGACCCTTTTTCTCTCCAAAATTCACTATTTTGTGGAGAGGAGAGAGAAATATAATAAAAATATAACCAAAGATACTGTTTTCACATCTGCACCTCAACACACACCTGCAAGAAGAAAACATTATTTGGACATTTGGTCCAAATAATCATCCAAAAGTTCAGAGATCTTATGCAAAACTTCTCCCATTCTCTTTAGTCTAGAAATGAAGCTGAAAATACTGCCAGGGCTTCTTCTATTTTAGTAGGTATTTCCACTTGCAGAGGAAACCAGGAAAATTAAAGGCACACAAAATCTGCAAAAAACACTAGTCAGGCACTTTAAAAAAAAAGCTTGATTTAGATTCAGCTGGAGTTCGGGTCTTTTGTTTGAACCTCTTTGTTCAACCCTAGTCACAGTGAGCCCACTGTACTGCACATTGATTTTAATTTAATCTTTGTTTCTACTCTATCTCTATTATTATATTTATAAGAAACACTATAAGAATACAGTATTTTTGTTAAATTTAAAGTGGCTTAAAGTTAAGGTAAAAGAGTAATGAACCCTAACATGCCTTATAGCAAAAAAGGATTTTATATTCATAGTTGTGTATATACAGATATAGAAATGTTGAGTTTTTGAGAACTACACTAACCTCACATTTTTAGCAGCAATGTTTATTTACCCCTTCTTTCACATAGCCTGCCATAGTGAGAGATAGATATTTAAGTAAATATCTAGATATATGTGGAGGTAAAAATTGGGATAAAATATTTATTTCTGAAATTCATAGCTCCTACTTATTAATAAACAGGTTAATTGCAGGGTTTTTGTACCATTGTACTCCCCATTGTTATTTGGTTGTTGTTTCTTTAATAGCTTGTTATTTAATTATTTCATATGTCAGTAAACATCACATCTGCATATGGTAGATAATATTTTCTACAATTTCCTCATTCACATTCTGGATGGATAGTTTCTACAGATGGTGAAACTCATGGGAAAAATAATTCCGTTACGCTCCCATGTTTGCGTTATCTATAATCATTATCTTATAGATATACTGCATATATAGGAAATCATTTTTGAAAGTCAAT